AAGCAAGGCAATAAAGCCATTAGGAAGCAAGGTGTTACTAATCGTAAGAGAATATTTGAACAAAACATAATTAAAGAAAGAGAACAATAAAAGAACAGGAATTAAGAAAACAAAAGATAGCGATTGACATTGAATTTAATTTTTTAAAGATCAAACCTGACTGGAAAGCAAGAAGCCAGAAAAGAGTTCCACAAATGAGAGAAGAAATTGCTAACATAGAACTTGTGGTGATATCTAGCCAATTTAATTGCAAAATGATGAAACCTAACTGCCAATCTAGTATTGTGCTTAAATTCATAAAGTCTAGGTACCATAGAGATAAATTCATCTGAACAATTACCATGAAAATAGACAAAAAGTCACAAAGAAGCTACGTTCTAGTGGTGGGAAAGTGACTGAAGCCTAGATGCCAGATCATGACCGATAACATTGCAGATTATTCTTTGTATTTTATCAAGACTCTCTAAATACATAACTGAAGCAACAGACCAGATGCGTCAACAATATTTAAAACAAGGACGAATGGTAGACTTATAAATGCGTAAAATAGATTCTGGAGAGAAAAATTAAGTGTTTTGCATGACAGCATATAAGTGTGTGTGTGTGTGTAAAAATTCAGATATAACTAAAAATATATGTAAAAGGACATTATGAATAAACACAAAAGGAACATTTATCTTATCCAACGCGTTTCGTGCCCTGAGAGACTTTATCAAGGAATATAATCAGATAAGATAATTTTTCCGTTTGTCTTTATTCATATATATATATATATATATATATATATATATATATATATATATATATATATAGGGTGTTTCAAAACTCTTGGGAAAATTTTGACATTGAATATCTCGAAAACTATTAAGGATATAAAAACGTGAAAAGTTCAAAGTTGTTCAAGGTGAGCAACGTTGGTCATACGGAACACATCAAGCCGATAGCCCAATCACGTTCCAGCATTGCGTTGTCAATGGTTGCAACAGCTTTCGTTATTCGTGCCTTCAGTTCATTTACGTTTTTTGGAAGGGGGGACACATGGACCAATCCTTTCACAAACCCCCACAAAAAGAAATCGCAGAGTGTGAGATCAGGAGACCTGGAAAACGCACGTTGAACAAGTGTCCATGATTCAGATTTTGCAAATTCAAGGATGTAAAACGCCTTTTCTGGTTGAGTGAACGCCATTACTGGATATGAAAAATATGAAAAAAATCCTTAGCATTACAAAAAATTTAATGAATTTAGCTTTAAAATGGTACCAGTTTCATCTTACTACCATTCATAATTCAGGAGATATGAGAACTTGAAATGTGCCTAAGACTTCTGGAACAGCCTGTATGTATATATATATATATATATATATATATATATATATATATATATATACTACTCTTCCATTCCACTCATATATATATCTACTCTTCCACTCACAAGCCAAGGGCCCGTGAACTTTGAAGTGACCCGACGCGAGAATGACCTGGTTCCAAAATTTCGCAGCTATCAGGCGTTTGACCATAAGTGAATTCCAGGTACCATCAGGATCTCCTGCTGCGATTCACGTGATCCGACCCTACTAAGCGTGGATTGAACCTTTGACCATCACACAAACACTGCGTAATTTGCGCCCCATCCTCCTGCGTACCCGGTCGGC